ATTGAAAAGTACAAACTTCTAGTTATAAAATAAATAAGCCCTGGGGATGTAATGTACAGCATGGTGACTATAGCTAATTATACAGTGTTGTAAATTTAAAAGTAGCTAGGAGAGTAAGTCTTAAAAGTTCTCATCAAGAGAAAAAAATCTTGCAACTATGTATGGTGATGAATGGTAACTAGACTTATGGTGACCATTTTGTAGTATATGCAAATATTGAATCATGTTGTTGTACATTAATATAATGTTATATGTCAATTATACCTAATAAAAATTTTTTTAAAGAGAATGGTACAAGAAAAGAGAAGTGGGAGGAGTGACTTATAATTAATTACAATATCATCGGCAATGCCTAATTTTAAAAAATGCACTAGATAAGAGCTTATTTAAAAGACTCCATCCAACTTAAATTTCTCAGATTCTATATACGTACTTTGCAAACATAATTATACAGGCATGATTACATAACATCTACATGTAAAAATCAAACAATAGTCAAATAAGTTTCTTTTTTCCTATCCAATTTGTTTGTTTCTCCACAAACCAAAGGAATTGGCTAAAGATTAACAGTTTCTTCATGTTGCTAAATTAATCTTCTGGTTTATGGGGAAATGCAAAACTGATCTATAAAAATAATAATAAAAAAAAACAGATATAAGGAGGCATCGCTTTATACTTCGTGTCCCAAGACATATCAGTTATTATCTTGATTTGTTGCTGCTGTTTTCCTTGAACAAAGACTCGCCATTCAGAAGGCTGAGGGTAGCTAGTGAATTCATCCTACTCCCAATTAATTTGGTTGAGTCTATATAAAAGACCAGTTAGAGCACAGATTTAGGAGTCAGTTAGCCCTGAGTTTGTATTCTGACTCCACTGATTATTAGCTGTGTGAGCATGGGCAATTCACTAAAATCTCTGAGACTTAGTGTTCTCATCTGTGAAATAAGAATAATAAACCACTTCAAAGTACTATAATGAATAATAAGTGAGATGAGCAGGAAGTATTTAACACGATGTCTCATCCAGTACTCAATGCCAAGTATTTTTCTATTTCCAAAATAATCATCTCATAACATATATTTATAAAATTTTAGCATCTACTGTGTGACAGTTTCTTTTGACATAAATTATTTCTAATTCTCACAGCAACACTGAGGGTGGGGTAAGATGCAGGAAAGCATTCTCATTTTACAGTTGGAGAAATCATGGCTCAGGGAGGTGAAGTGGGCTGCCTGAGGTCACACAGTGATTATGTGACTGAGAAGGAGTTGAAACAGACTCAGCCAATATCGAAGACCATGTTCTTTCTACCAGGCTGAGGTAGGACACTCTGGGACACACACTCCTATGGCAGTGTGTGCCCCAGCGTGGGACAAAGAAAGAGAAAGCAAAGCAGCTTTGGAGGTCTCCAAACCTCCCAGTTTAGAATAAATTCCCCAATTATGTTTGAAGTTGGAGAAGCTTTTCAAATTTCGACTGGATATTCTTTTCCCATCAAGTTCCTTGAAATTTCCCTTTAAAGAGCATCTAGGAAAAGCCACTCTCATTAGCCAGGGTCTGGCTTTATTTTCCTAATAAACAGACCTTTGGCCAGACAAAAGAGCCTCTTTTACTTTTAATCAATTCTTGAACATTTCAGTTGATTTTCTTCTATTTGGCTTGAAATTGTGATCTGGGAATGGCTGGTCCTGCAAATTGTCTTCCCATAAGGGAAGCCCCTCGAGGATCCTCAACTTGTTATTTTTAATCACTGTAATCTCCTTTTCAAAGGAGGCCATGGTCAAAAACAGAGCAGGCCTTTCAGAGCTTTCTAAAGCACAATTATTGCTGAGGGAAGGGGACAGGGGGATGAGGGAGGGAGAGTAGAGAGAAGTGGTGGGAGAGAGAAATAAGTCAATGTAGTACTAACAACTTGGAAAAGGCTGAATAATAATCTCATTGGGATCCTGGCTGTTGAGAAGAAACTCCATGTTTCAACATTTTTTAAATAGTAACCATTTTATTCCAGCCTAGAATACCTACAGTACCTAAAGGATAAATTGATGTGGGGGGCATGGAGAACAGAAGCTATTTTGGGATGAACTGGAATACTGGGGACAAAGATTTGAGGCAAGAAAACAAGCCAAGGATTGATTCCAAGTATTGTGAGGGGCCCTAATTCAGGAAAAAGCAAAGAAAGAAAAGAAAGAAATAGAAAGAAAGAAAGAAAGAAAGAAAGAAAGAAAGAAAGAAATAGAATACCAGGGGAATGTTAATTGCCACAGCCCTAAGTCAATACTCAGAGCAGAAGGCATTAGACTTACTTTTAAACATAATTATTCTAAGAAAGTATAAGCCAACAGAAAAGGTCAAACTGGTCCAGCACCTTTTTCTTCCTAACTTTGAGTGGCGGAATTGGGTTTGTTAATTGCAGAGTTTTACTCAGAAGTCCTCAGCAAGATCTTTCTTTCAAGATTTCTTAGCCACTGGAAGGAGAAATGATTGCCCACCTACAGCCTGAGTGGGGGCTTCACAGTCCAAAATGCTAGTGTTTTAGGCTGGAATAATTGTAGGAGTGAAGTCTAGTGCTCCCCTCCCCTTCTGTCCAGTTCTCACCTCCAGGCTGCAGACACTTAGGCAGTCATGGGACTTCTCTGTCCATGTGACTAATCCGGTGCACCTCTTTCCCAGTGATGGAGCCACCAGCTGCTGCCGGTGCTCAGTGAAACTGGGAGGATTCTGTGGGAAGATGCCAGCTCAGCAGTTGGCCTGGACCCCATACTAGCCTAAACCACCTGAAAAAAATCCTCCTGGGCTTAAATGAGGAAGAGTCTTAAGCAAGGCTCCTACTATGGAGAAATCAATCATTCATTTACTCACTGAATTCTTGAGGATCTCGATAATCGCCATTCACTCTTAGATTAGACCTGAGGAGTCCTAAGAAAACCTACTTTTACACACACACACACACACACACACACACACACACAGAAAGGGAGGGAGGGAAGGAAAGAGAGCGAGAGCGAGAGCGAGAGCGAGCGAGAGAGAAACAAATCTGAACAGGCACATTCTTCTATTATTAAACCAATAAGGGCCACATATCCAACTCAAACTAACATGTATTGGGGACCTCAGCACATTCATCTTTGAAACTCATTTACGCCCTACAGCCACCCGGGAAGGTTGGATAAACACCTATTTTCACCTATTTTCACAGCTGAGAAATGGGCTCAGAGAAATTAAAGGACTTGCCCAAGGTCATACAGTTACTAAGCCCAAGTCCAACTGACTCCAGAGCCACGTCTTTTCCTGCCACGTGGAGCTGTGGCAGTTTCCCCAGAGAACCCTGGTCCTCCGTTTTGGGGGAGGATTAAAGAGGCCAATGAGGCCCACGTCCTTCCAGTCTACGGAGAGGAATGGCTGGCTGTTTCCAGCTCCGCGGAAAGGCTGTGCCCGCACGTCGGTTCGGCTCCTCCAGCCGCGCGCCATCCCGCCCGCTCCCTCCCGCGCTGGGTCGTGTGTCCTCCGCCCAATGTCTCTCTCCTCTCGGTGAAGTCCCGACGATCCCGCCGACCCGCGCGGCGGGGTCCGAGAGTTCTCCAAGCGCTAAGCGCCTACACATGTTTAGGGCGCCCGGAAGCCGGCTCTGGGTAGCTCCAGGTGCAGAAAGTCGGGGGCACACGGACCCGGGAAAACGAGAGAAGCATTCTGAGAAGGGTGGTCCCTGGTTCTGGCCGTCTGTGTGGCCCGGGCGCCCGCTGACATTGCCCCAAACTTTCCCCGGTGTTGCTCCCACCGCTTCCGCTCGCGACGCTCTAGGGACCGGGAAGCCAGGAGTGGAAGGGCGGCAGCTGTGAGCCCATTTGCCCCACCAGATGCCCCCAAAGACCCTCTTTTCCCTGATTGGCACCAGAGGTGATTTATGAGGGGGCAGGGTGAGGGGGACACGCGCCCTGTCACATCCTGCCCGTGGGACACCAGGTGAGACAAGGCCGGCTTATCTTGTCTCCCAACTGGGGAACCGCCGCTGCTGCGTGAGAAAAAGAAGTCTGGGGAGAGGACCGGGCTGAGGAGGGAGGAGGCGGGCCGTGGGGATGGAGTTAGGGGTTTTCATGTCTGTGCCGGTCGAGCTGCCAGTCCTGCCCAGGACGCGCTCAGCTGCTCGGACATCCCCTCCTAGCACTCCCGAAAACCCGCTCTCAGCTGAGGAGCTGAGACGCAACATCTCTTGGGCGCGGAGCCCCGGGGTTTAGGGAGCCAAGGTCCCCCGGCCTTCAAGGAGCAGGCCTCGGGAATTCGGGCTTCCCTTTTCATCCCCAACAGGTTCCCCTGTTCTCTCCGAGACTACTCAGAGATCTCTGAAGGCCCGTTCCACTGGGAGCCTGTCCTGGAAATCCAGGGTCTTCTCTCTCGCCTGGGACCATCAGAGAATAATTGGGAGTTCTTTCCGGGGATCATTCCGAAGAGCTTCAGGCTCTTCCTCCCTTCCTCCCCGTGCCCAGCTAAGGGGGAAGCTTAAAGTCTTTTTTCCTAAAGGGGTCTGTCCGGGAAAGCTGGAGTGACTGTCCCGCCGGGGGCCTTGCTGAGAGAAGCGTATATCCTGTCCTTCAGGGATGGGAGCGGGGAAAGCCAGAGTTCACCACCTTGCCTGGGACCCAACTGGGAAAAGCCAGGGTCCCTTCCTCTCCAGAGACGGATCTGTGGAAAGGCGAATCTCTCCTGCTCTGCTGTAGCCGGCTGGTTCCCTCCCAGCCAGGCCGATGTGACGCGTCGCTCCGCTACCGCTCACGCCCCGGAACCGCGCGTCGGAGATGGGGGCTGCCTTGCCTGGCTGCGGCCCCCGCGACGGCCCTGGAACTGGCTCGCGGTTCAAAGGGCTGAGGGTGCCAGGACAGAGGGACCCTTGAGGGGCTGTGCCGGCACCGACCACCCACGGACTGTGCGCCCTCCTCCGGCACTGCGCGGTCGGCGCCCTACGGGGTCCGCGCCCCGTGCCCCGCGCGCTTCGCCGGGCCACTTACCGCGGTAGCTGGTTCCCGGCTTGTAGAAGTCGGGGTCGCCCTCTACGCGGAGGCTGAACTCGGTGTAGCCCTCACGCCGCGTGCCTTGGGCGCGCAGGATGCGGCTGCAGTATCCCTCCGACTTGGACACTTTGTCCAGGGTCTCGTCGGAGAAGGCCAGCGCCACGGCCAGGGGCAGCGCCAGGGCCAGCAGCGCTGGACTCCGGCTCAGCCTCAGGGGCGCCGGGGACAGCCTCATCCTTACGGACCCCCAACTTTGTGCTTCTGCCACCGGCCCTCGCCACGCGACTCCTGCCCGAAGGGGTCCCCGCGGAAGCAAGACCCGGCGCAGCCCCGGCGGCAAGCTGGAGCTCAGTGCCGGCTCTGGCGGCTGAGAGACGATGCTCGCCTGGGCTTGGCGGCTGCCGAGCTGCGCTGCGCCGCGCTGAGCTGAGCTGAGCGAGCCGAGCAGCTCGAGGAAGGGAGGGCGGCGGCGAGGAGGAGGGAGGGCTGATTTTGCCCAGATCCCCGAGCGCAGCGCTGTTTTGTTTCCGAACTGGCGATTAGCGGCGCGGCCGTGTTTATTTTGCGATGCTGGATTCCCAGGGTCTGGCAAGGAAATCATAGAGTAGAAGGACACTGAGGGCTCTGTCCCACCACCAAGGAGGTTGTTGCCCCATCCCCCTGCTACATTCTGGACCGTGTGGAGGAGAGTGCTCAAAGGAAAGAAAGACTGAGAACGAACTTTTGTTGCACACCTACTCTGCGCCTAGTGGTACGCTGGGCGGTTTACTTCTGGGACCTGCTCACCTCTCCGCCCTCACTGCGCACAATAAACATGACATTACTTTCGCTCATTTTACAGATGAGCAAACTGAGGCCACAGCCAAACAGTTAAGGCGGGGTCAGATGCCATGGCTATCTACCTGACTACTGCTTTTCTAATAGTGGTGCTGAAACAGGTCAGACTCCAGGATGAGAAAGAGAGAGAAAGACTCATCCATCGGACACAGGAGGCCCAGTACCTATGGCCTGTAATACTTTCGGAGATTCCTGAAAATGTTTTCTTTAAAATCAGAAGAAATAAAACCAATAAAATGTTTTACTATATAATATTAATATATTTGCGTTTATGTCTACACAGTCATAAAACATAATGTCTGCTATTTTATGATGGAAGGCGTTTACAATGACAAAAGGGCCTAAGGTCCACAAGAATCCTCATATAGCCTTGGAAAGCAATTTTAAAACGGCTCAAAGAAAAGCCTGTGTTTTCTTGGCATAGATTTTAGTTCAGGTTCTCAGGCCCCAGTGACAGATGTTTGGAGCGGAGCTGAGCCTGAGGGCTCACTGGGCAGAGCCTCAGGCATCAACCACAAGGCCAAACAGGAGAAGGCCCAGGTGCAGGAATTTCTCCCAGTGTTCCCCCAGGACAGACCTGAATCAAACCTTCCCCACTGTGAGACTTGGGTGAGTGCTTTTACCTCCCCAAGCCTCAGTTTCATGCTCTGGAGGTATCTGTGTGTA